GGAAATTAAAATTTCCCGAACTTTTACTAATGCTTCGGGGAAATTTCATCAAGATCCATCCTTCCACTGCTATAACATAATTATTTGGCTTGGGTCAATAGTTTGCGGAGTGGGTGTAACGAAGATGGGAAGTATTCCCCATGGAAGAGTAAACGGGCCCCTCAAAGATGATATCATTTCAGTAATTTTGTTTCCCAGTTCTCCAAAGCACCACATCTTCTTATGGATAGCATTATTTACTTCCCTGACCAAGCAGTGCTGTAATGACATGAATTGAAGAATTACTTACCCTAGTACATCGGAGGCTCTCAAATTTTCTTTCAGAAACATAGCAGAAATAAAGGCACTACCTAGAAAGACAATGACCGTTAGTGGTGTTTCCAACATAAAAACATATATTACGCAATGGCATTTGAAAGGAGTTAAGCAGTTTGTGTCCTAAGCTGGCTGGCTGTGTCCTGGTCAGAGACACCCAGCGGCTGTGGCTGTCAAATAACTTCTTTCCTGCTCATGGTTCAGGATCCATGGAAAGTAGCCTGGCTCACAATGGCCCTGGGACCGTGATTGGGATGGTGCCCCATGGACAGTGAGGCCTTAATGACTGGATGAATGAATGGAAAGGAAGGGAAGAAGGGAGGGAGGGAGGGAGGACAGGAGGGAGGAACTGTGACACCAGTGTTGCTATGGAAAGGCAGAAAGAGACAGAAGGGAAGGAAAGAAAGGAAGGGTGGAAAGAAGGAAGTCTTAACTTCATATCCCAAATGGAAACTCATTATTTCCCATCACCTCCTCCTCTAATCCTCACTCCTATGATGCCTCTGTCGAGCACCAGAATCCTAGGACTCCGCCTGGCTGCCCCCCTCACACTGCACATCCAACAGGCTACTGGGCCGGTTAAAGCTGCAAAACGCAAAAAGGATATGATTGGTAACAATAAGCTTGAACTACGCTAATGCGACAAATCATATAGATTGCTGTGAAGTAGTTATCAGAGTTTTATGAAACATAAACATGCTATTTTTACTTTCTGAAAAGAAAATTATGTCTGATGCAACTTATATACTCATTTTTCTGTTTTAAGAGAACATGAGATTTTCTATAAAATTTTTACATAAGAGAATAAAAAGATTTTAAGTTTTATTTATCTAGCAAAGAAAGCAATAAGAGGAACATTCTATTAAGATACATTTACTGCCAAAACCGGTTTGGCTCAGTGGATAGAGCGTCAGCCTGCGGACTGAAAGGTCCCAGGTTCGATTCCGGTCAAGGGCATGTACCTGGGTTGCGGGCACATCCCCGGTAGGAGATGTGCAGGAGGCAGCTGATCGATGTCTCTCTCTCATCGATGTTTCTAACTCTCTATCTCTCTCCCTTCCTCTCTGTAAAAAATCAATAAAATATATTTTAAAAAAAAAAGATACATTTACTTGTAACTCATTTACCCTGAAAAACATTGTTAAAATGAGAGCAGGGCTGAGCAAAAACAGTATCGGAACAACAGCTAATCACATGACTTCCAAGTAGAGTAGTAAATGTTTAAAATGAGGAAAAAATAAACTAAAAGTGCTCCCGTATACACTGGCAATCAGAGATCTGTCAAACTCAACCCTGTCTAGTTGTGGCTATAACCATGACCACTGTGCAATGGACACTTAGAAAGGGGGAAACCTATTACACTTTTATTCCTCTAGTAAAATCCAATATTCAACAGAAAAAAATGTCGAGATCAAAAGCATGAAAACAGAACACACTTGTAAATGAAACAGATTTGTGCTGGGTATAGGTACCTCTGAGCACGCACACTGTTGGGTACATTTTGGACTACACGCATATTTGGGCAGAGGTTCATTCTGGCTTTCGTAGGACATGGGTCTACACAGAGAACGCTCCCGCCACTAGTCTCCACAGATCACTCACAGGCACAGGTCTACATGAGTGTGCATAGACTCTGGGGTTAAATTCATTGCACCGTGTCACACTGTGACTCCAGAGATAGACATTGGACTACAAATGACCATAACACACTAAAAAAGGTGAAAAGCAGCATATGAAGTGGTTATGTAGGAATCATGAGGGAAAAAGATAGCAGGAACATTATCCATAGGGGAAAGGACAAATAAAAACACACACACAAAAAACTAAAGTATTTTCTCTGGCTCAAATAGTGCTCCATAGGGAAGTTTAGTCATATATTCACTTGGCCTCGACCATAGAGCTTCATGGCCACGAAGAATCTTAGCAAGTGTTACAATGGACTGACTCCTATTGATGAGTCATCTATTCTCTCTTCAGCCGTTAAGTGTCACTCAGGTTAGCAATCGGAATGCAGATGCTTTCTGGTCAAGGCCGACAAAGGACACTTACACATGGGCATTCTGATTGGGATTTCCAGGTGAAAACAGATAAAGGCCAAGCAAGATTCTGGTGGCTGCAGCTGAACCAAGTGTAGATGTGGGGGACCGTTCCAGTCCCAGGTATAGGGATGTGTCCTGGTACTGAGCTCTCTAATACTTCCTGGTTTGCTGAGGAACAAACCCTCTATTTGTTCTTCATTCACCTCCTCTCTGACGTCACTTAGACTTGTTCTAAAACCTGGTTGTTACTATGGAAGAGTTACTTAGCTTCACGTGGCCAAGAGTTGGTGCTCTAAGATCCGTAGCAGGCCACAAGTGAGAGGAAGAAACCAACAAGCATACATTAACTTGGTGCATGAGAGTTCAGATAGGTTGTACTAACTTGATTTGGATTTTCTTCTGCGATAGCCACTAAGGGCCAGAAGTTAGGCATCAGTTTTCTGTTACACAGGACAAGGGTCTCAAGGTCTTGGGGGTTCTTAATGCTATTCTTGCTGGATGTTAAAAAAATGCACAGTATTTTGCAGCTGCAGCTGCAATGGGATGAGCTTGACCAGAACCACAACTAGATAAGTTTAGCCAACTGCAAAGAAGAAATTGACAGGCAATCAACCAAACAGTGTACATAAGCAATGGCTAAGCCTCCCTTTGGGAAGGCAGAGCTTTGGCTGTGAGTTTTCCTTGCTGCCAGAATAAAACTAATGGCAACCGTGTCCTTGTCCTTGAATAAGAACATCCCAAGTGGCAAACCCTTTGAGTTCGGTAACATTTCTGTAAGATAGCAATTAAACCCCAGGGTAGATTTTTACCTAAATCATTTTTGATTTTGGGGTCTGTAGAGTGATAGGTAAATGGGCACTCCCTTTTTCAATTTGCAACACTAAATTATCTGTGTACATTTTACTTAAATTATCTACCCCTCCAAATAATAATTTTTTTAATTAAAGATTTAATAGCACAGAAGAAAAGTTCAATAACTATTTAAATGTGTTATAGTATGGCTATTTAAAAAAGATTTTAATCCGAGTGGATTAAAAAACTGTGGTATCGCTTCTCGGCCTTTTGGCTAAGATCAAGTGTAGTATCTGTTCTTATCAGTTTAAAAAACTGTGGTACATCTAGGTACACAATGGAATACTACACTGTTGTGAAAAAGAAGGAACACCTACCATTCGCAACAGCAGGGATGGACCTGGAGGGCATTATGCTAAGCGAAATAAGCCAGCCAGAGAAAGATAAATATCACATGATCTCACTCACTTGTGGAATACAATGAACAACATAAACCCATGAACAAAAATAGATCCAGCCCTAGCTGGTGTGGCTCAGTGGATAGAGCACTGGCCTGCAGACTGAAGGGTCCCAGGTTCGATTTCGGTCAAGGGCACATGCCTGGTTGCGGGCTCGATCCCCAGTAATGGGTGTGCAGGAGGCAGTGACCAATGATTCTCTCTCATCATTGATGTTTCTATTTCTCTCTCCCTCTCCCTTCCTCTCTGAAATCAATAAAAATATATTTTAAAAAAATAGATCCAGAGACAGAGAAGTATCGAACAGACCATCAAACCTCAGAGGGAAGGCAGGGGAAGGTGAGGGAAGGGGATAGAGATCAACCAAAGGGCTTGCATGCATGCATATAAGCCTAACCAATGGACACAGACACTAGGGGGGTGAGGGCATGTGCTGGTGGGGAAGGGCGGGGGGGGGGGGGGGCAATGGGTGACCTGGAGAGCATCATGCTAAGTGAAATAAGCCAGTCGGAGAAAGATAAATATCACATGATCTCACTCATTTGTGGAATATAATGAACAACATATATAAACCGATAGGGGGAGGAAAGAAGACATATGTAATACCTTAATCAGTAAAGAATAAAAAAAAAAGATTTTGTTCACATGTACTTCTCATTTTTTACCCTTTTATGACCACTTCTTAAAAGACAAATTTAATCCAAAACTTAAGAATAAAAACAATTACACATTACCTATATGTAATTATGATATGATATTCTTATTTGATTCAATTGGAAAGAAAAAACCCATTCAGGTCACGCACGAAAATGCCAACAGTGGCCATTTAGCTAATCCTCTGGAGAGGAAAGGAGTGGGCTGTGGCGACGCGGACTACACAGTCAGTGACAGGCGGCAGCCATCACTCAGCCCTCGCGCACTGCGAGTCCCCTGCTACCAAATCTGATTCTTCTGGACAAAAATCCAGTTCTTGTGTGTCACGGTCCAGTTTCTAAACATGGGGAAATAATTTGTATTCTTATAAGCATTGTTGGAGCCAAACAAAACACAGCCGAGGCCAGAGCTGGTCGGCAGGCCACCACCAGTGTGTGAGCACTGTCCTCGTCCTCAATTTCCATTTCCTGGACATTCGAGTTACCGTTTTGTATCTACGATCTGAAGAGAACTCAGGGTATATGTGTATAATATAGGAAAGCAGAAGGCAAAGTAGTAAAGAAAACTCTTCTTTTATGAAAAAACAAAGTAACCCATGACATGAAAAGAACAGACTTACATAATAATGCCACAAACAGATCCTCGCATGTAAATATCTGGCTTGTGGTTTCTGACCACTTAGCAGGGCAGCTGTATTGTACGGGTAAAAGCAAACCGCAAAGCACTTTCGTGTCAGTCACAGCCCAGCGTCGAGCACGTGCACACATGGAGCGTGCTCACAGGCTCAGTCTAGTCTAATTGTACGAGGCACTGACTGCTCCACAATTATCATTCCCTGTTAGTTGTAGAATTACATGTCAGTTACAACATACCCCGTGGAGTTAGGATTTGAAGATCTGAGGACACATTGAAAGATGTTTCTTTACAGAGAAAAGTTAGCTTACCATTCCTAATGGTAGGAATAAAAGTGAATAAGTAATTCATCGTACTAAAAAAATTGCTATTGTCATTTATTGAAGATAATAGAAGGATAATTCATAGGTTATTCGCATAATTTCAAATGAGGAAATGTATCTGGATTAAGAGCAATGA